GGCTGCGCGAGCGGAGCCCTGCGAGCCCCCGCGGGCAGCGCCGCGGCGCGGGGTGGTGCCGGCTCCGGGGCGCGGGTGGGCCCCGGCTTTGCCCCTTCCTTCCGTAGCTCCACGAGGTGAAGGCTTCACTTATGTTCGCTCCTTTTTTTGGAATACCCCTTCTCCCAGCATCGCTGCAAAGGGCAGCTGCTAAAAAAGGGGAAAAAAAGAAAACAGAAAAGGCAGCTGGGGGAAGGCCGCTGTCCAGAAAGATCGCAGTCCTCTCCCCTTGCTTCAAGGAATCGGATTGTAGCTCTAAAACGTATCGATTGGAAGCGGCTTCGGTTTCTCCTGGGAAGCTGAGGGAGAAGCCCTGGCGTTAGTTGTTGCGCGCGCTCCGGAGCCTGCGCTGCAAAGCGAGTGCGCGAGCGCCTCGTGCTTGCTCCTGCCCTCCTTCCAGGACCGGAGCTCACCTGCAGGGGCGGTTTTCGTCTGGAAAAAGATCTGTTTGAAATCTGCTTTGGGGGTCTCAGGTTTGCTCTTTAGTAATTACTCTGTCAAGTACCCTTAGCTGACAAATGCAAAGTGATACCTCTGCTGTGTGGGTTTTTTTAAAAGGTCTTTTTGAGTTTTATGAAGGCTTAGTAATGGTATGTAGGAAATAAAATGGATATTTCTTTTTTCTTTCCTTGTTCTTTTTTTTTCTTTTTGATTGCAACCCATAGAAATAAGACTTTCCAATTCTTGAAACAAAATCTTCTATTTTCTTTCCCTTGGTCTTACAAATTAATTAGAGCTCATTTTTGAAGCAAAATGTTGACGTACTTAGTTTTGAATGGGAAAATATATGAAAATTAACATTTTTGAAATAATCTACTTTAGTCTGAACCTTATTTTTTTTTCTTATAACTATTCACATGTGAGATTATTCAAATTAAATGATCTCATTTTTTTTCCATTCAGGAAGGGGTCATTAGTTAAAGTAGAAATGTGAGTAAGCTGTGTACGTAAGAAGTGTTGCCAAACTTCATGTATTAGGGTTTAACTGGTGGCATAAATACACTTAGTTTTTGAAAAGAAAGTATCAAATTACAGAATTTCTTTTTAGTGAAAAAATACTGTTGAAATTTTAGGATTTATTAATATAGTTGCCAATAAAATCTAGTCTGGGCTTTTTAGATTTTCTTCAAAATACATCCAGAGTCTGGATCAGAGGAAATTAATCCTGGTGTATTTTTTCCTGTTTCCTGTGGATCCAAAGAAAACCATTCTGACTTTCTCATAAGGGCAAGAACTGCACATTTAACTGTCCATTTCAGCACTATCTTTAGAAAATTTTTTGTCTAGTTTTCATATGTTCTAAAAATCCAGAAATAACTCAGAGTTTTACTTGTAGTTGTAGGTATAGTTAAATGGGATACATGCTCTCAAGGTAGAAGTAATTGCCTATTAGCCAATTAGTAATTTCTAAAAATTACATACATATATATATATATACATATATGTATATATATAAATGTGTGTGTGTATATATATGTGTGTGTGGGTATGTATATGCATATATACATACTAGCAGGAATTATAGAACTGAGTGACCATTTCAGACCACTTTTTAATCCATACCAGCATATTGTAAAAAGAGCAGAGAGAACCAAGTTCCGCAATGGAAAGTTAATTATTAATATATTTTAAAAACAGCAATTAAATTATTAATAAAAAAATCACAGGAATCGATAGTCATGTCAATATTGGGATGTGTGGAAAGTCATGTTTTTGAGATTGGAATGTTTTTCTCTCCAATTTTGTATTGCAAAATAAAACCAATAGGATTTATGGATTTTAAAGCTTACTCTTAAATTCCAGAGTACACTTTCTTTTTTTTTTTTTTTGATTTGTGCTATGGAATTTTAGTGAAATTTCAGTAATCTGAGCTCTGCTCAGTCGCCGTGTCCGGCGCTGTGCTGGGAGCAGCACCCAGGCTGTAGTGCGAGAGGAGGGAAGACCTTGATGTTCATGGTGACACTGGTGAGGGTGAGCATGAGGGGAGAGCTGCCAGAAACGCAGCATTTTGGAATTTATAGAAGACATTTCTGGAGGGCAGGTTTCTACTCAGTGAACAGTGCCTTTTCAGCTCTTTCCATCTTATTGTTCTGAATTTTTTCAGTGGGGAGGGAGAAAAAGGAGAAAAAAAGCTGGAATTAAAATGGTGAAAAGTAAAGAAGGGAACTACACTGGATGAAGAAAAACATTTTGCCTTGTCAGAAGTCTTCAGTAGTGTAGAAATATGTGGGAAAGCCTAGATATACATTAACTAAATGGAGGCAATTCCTGTTGGGCTAACCACTAAATTAGCAATTCTGGAGATTCTTGACGTGGCTCTCTTCCCATATGAGAAAATGCAATCAGGTAATTCTCTAGGAACTGTAAACTGGAGAGGTTTAATTATTAGAAAAACTGAGGATCAGCTCAATGGACTTACAAGTCCAAGTGCAAGGGACCAAGAAAGTCTTCCTTCATTATTTATCTTTTATTTTTTAATAGATGCCAGATGACTGAAGCTGAAGCTGATCAATCCTTAGCAAGCATGAATGGCAACAAACTTCTGCCTTTTTACCCTAGGGCCTTTCAGCCCTTACTAGTAATCCTGAGAAAGGAGCTATAGAAAAATACAGATTTGTTGCATGTATAGGAGCCCCTCAGGGCTAATGTCTTGCCAAGGACTCTTCATTTTGTGGGCTACACAGACCTCACAGCACTGCTAGAATAAAATTGCAGCTGTTTTTCACATCACACATGTAACAGGGTCTGATCCCCACCTCCATGACTTCACCCCAGTGAGTCCAAGTGACAGAGCGACTTTGCCTTGCTCAGCTTGCTGAGGGCTTGCGGCTCGTCTCCTACTGCAAGGGCAAAGAAGCATTTTCTGCTAAATTCAAGCAGAAAACTCTTTATTAGATTAATAAAAAGCATATATGCTTTTTTCCCCCTTTTTTAATTTCCCCCTTTTTAATGCCTACCTGAGAGGAACAGTAAGATTTTTTTTTTTAACTTATTAAAAGTAAACTTTTATGTCATGGTCTTCTCCTGATTAAGTGGTTTCTCTAGACATTTCTACATCAACCAGAGTGATTAGGCAGAATGTGTGCATGCCCTCCACAGATTGGTTCACAAAGCAGTGCAATCAGGTATTTGGTAACATAAATGAATAAAATCCAAATGCAGTACATAGCTTCCAAGCTTCAGAGGTTTTGCTTTATTTGCAGTAACAAGTTCTTACATATGTATATTACAGCACTATTTGCAGTTAATACTGCCCTATAGAGTGGCCATAGAAAATTTCCAATTGAAACGTAGTCTCCAAATTCTTTACTCTCTTTCCCCTGCTTAGTGTTTGCAATGATAAATATGAGAATCTCCATCCTTTCACCTGCAAGAAAGAGTTATTTATGCAAGAGTAAATATGACTTTTGTAAAATGTTGACATAATACACAAATATTTACAGAATGTGTGTGTATACTGTTGCTGGGGTGTTTAAAGCAAACTGGAGTAAAATGCAGGATTCAAAACTCTTGGAATCTGCAGCACGGCTGGACTGCCCAGGGGTTGCTGTCTCCTCAGAAGTGAGATGGAAGGAGAAATGTGCCTAGCAGCATTTTATTTGAGGTTGATGAAATGGTTTTTGTTGGCTACAGCACCCCAGAAGATGCTCCTCTTGTGGCTGAATTCGCCTGGTAGCTGACTTGTCTATCATAGCTATGTGACTGGCTGCTTGCTACATTCAAGTCATGCACCTGGAAAAAACAGCTGTTGTCACTGCCCCTGCTGTGCCCTGTCATTACAGTGGGGCTGTGGGCGCAGCACTTGGGCAGGCTCCTCCTGATGGGATTCTTGCTTACCCTGCTTGATGACTTTGAGTAGCAACAAATAAATCAATTATGCAGACAATTAAATTGCCATCAGTAGTCTTCAGAGTAAACAGGCATGGACCTCTGCAACCCCAGATAGACAGCATGGCATTGAGCCAGTCTCACTAGGTAGCCTTTGTGAGGAGGCAGGCAGAGCCAGGGTTGGCAAATCTGCCAAGGGCAAGAGAAATAGCCAAGCAAAGATGCACAAAAATCTGTGTGTGCTTCTCTGTGTGTCACAGCCCAGAGCTGCTTTGTATTAGGTGAAGAATTACTGCTAAAATAGCAAGAGTGTCTTTTATTTTTTTAAAAAACTTTTCAGCTGTGGGCTGGATTCAGGAGGAGTAGCTAAAACTAGCATGGTAGTGTCTAAACGTGTCGAAACCTAACATGGTCTTTGGCCAAAACGTGTTTTTCACTCCATGCTTGACTGCTGCAGCATGCAATGGAGTATGGCAGGGAGGAAAAAGCCCCAACAAGTGTTATTGCTTTGGCAATTCCTCAGCCCTGCTCAACTGAGGGCTTCTGCTCCCTTCCAAAGACTCGGGTCTTGCAAGAGGCTGAAGGCAGCTGAGCTGGGGATTCTTGTTGTCTTGGTTGAAGTCAGCAAGGGAGTAG